GCGGAGCTATGTAAAAATGAAACGCAAGCCTTATATTTGACGCTATAACTTTTGAAAACACCATAAAACCTGTACATGAGGGGTACTGTTGTACTCGGGAGACTTTGCTGAACACAAATATTTGTATTTCAAAACAGTAAAAAAGTATCACAGCAATAATATCGTCCGTGTAAGTGCTGTTTGTGCATGAAAAATGCAAAAAACTTCACTTTTACTGGCGATATCATCGTTGTAATACATTTTACTGTTTTGAAACACTAATATTTGTGTTCAGCGAAGTCTTCCGAGTAGAACAGTACCCCCCATGTACAGGTTTTATGGTGTCTCGGAAAGTTATAGGGTTAAATATAGTGCTAGCAAATTAAATTCCCTTTACTTTCCGCATGGGTTGTCAGGCAGGTCCTGCTAATTGTAATTAATTAAGATACCTAATTATGTAAAAATATTACATAAATATATATGTAGAATTAATATATGTATATATATATACGTATGTGTATATATATGTATATATCTATATAATTTTTTAAAAATATTTTTATTTATATATAGGTATATATATATAGTGATATATACGTATATATTTATGTATATAGATATATTATTTCGTTCTACGTGTATTTTGATATATATATATATATATATTAATTTCACAAAACAGTTAGAACGAAATAACACACATCTATATATTTTTAATTATTTATTTTTAATTATTTTTTTAATTTTATTTTTTAACGTATTTACATTTTTATTTTTTTTATATTATATATAAATATATATATAACAATAATTATATATATATTTAATCAGTATCAGTCTACGTGTAATTTGATATTAATATATATATATAATTATATATATATTAATAGTAAAATACACCTAGACGGTGTATGTGTGTGTATGTATATGTGTATATATATACTTAGTTCATATATATATAATATATATATATGATCTAAGTATATATAATTATTTTTTTTTACACCATTAACTTATTTTTATTTTATTTTCAGCCAGCAGGAGGACCACCTGTCATTACAGGCAGCCCCCCTGCCGGCAATACAGAAGCCAGCTATCCCCGGCCATGTGATTGTGGGGTCCTCGCTAGGACCCCACTCTCACATGGCCGGGGGGCTTCGACGAGGACGGACGTGCCGCGGGGGGCTCCCTGGGAGTCCCCCCAACCGCGATCGCCGGCGTGGGACCGCCGGTGACCGGGTAAGTTAACAAAAACCGGAGGGCGTACAATTACGCTCGGCGGCGTTTAGAGCCGCCTATTAGAGGGCGTAATTGTACGTCCTCCGGTTTTAAGGGGTTAAATTAGAGGGACTAAGGTTTAAAAATAATATCAGGAAGTATTACTTTATTGAGAGGGTAGTGGATGCATGGAATAGCCTATCAGCTGAAGTGGTAGAGGTTAACACAGTAAAGGAGTTTAAGCATGTGTGGGATAGGCATAAGGCTATCCTAACTATAAGATAAGGCCAGGAACTAATGAAAGTATTTAGAAAATTGGGCAGATTAGATGGGCCGAATGGTTCTTATCTGCCGTCACATTCTATGTTTCTATGTTTCTATATACACTAACTGTATCATAAGAGTGATACATTATTATACCCCATGTAATATACACTAACTGTATCATAAGAGTGATACATTATAATATACAGAACTGTATCATAGGAGGGATACAACATTATTATACCCAATGTAATATACACTGACTACATCATCAGAGGTACACAACATTATTATACCCCATGTAATACTGTATCATCAGAGTGACATAACATTAGTATGCCCTATATAATATACACTATATCATCAGTAACATAACATTATTACACCCTATGTAATATACACTGACTGTATCATCAGAGTGACATAACATTATTACTCACCATGTACTGTATCATCATCTCTTATTTTTTAGATATTATACTGGAACCTTGGGACAAGCAAAGTGAAATACTCCTCATTGAGTAAATTCGCAAAAAGGTGTTTATATCACTATTTTGTGTGGATTTATTATATTTTTTGCACAATATTACACATTTTTGTGTGTTTTAGCATAGTGCACTTTGGGTTAAAAGTATATTATTACACCAATTGTTTTATGTTCTTATGCAAATCACAGTTTTAATAGAAGGTATTTATTTAAAGTCTTAAAGATATAGCGCACTTTATTGTTTGGTTTATGGTACATTTCTCCACTGCTACTGAATAACGAATATATAGAAAGAAAAGATTTCTTTAAGCAAAGCAAAAATAACATACAATCCTATTGCTGAATATAAACAAGTATTATATTCTTTCAATTTAGGACAGTTTTAAAGCAATAGCTAAGAACACTCTCACTTTGACATCTATAGTATCGCCCTGCTTATTTACACAGGCATCAAAGCAGAATCGTATTTGGATTAAATAAAAAGGTACACATAGGTGTGGTACTGAACCGTGTTTGACTTGTGGGTTATACTTTTGCCTCTTCTAATACTGAGCGTAATTATAAAAAAAAAAAAATTGGTTGCAAAAATTGCAACACCGCCAATATAATCTACGTATTAATGTGTACATTCTGCTTTAAACAATATATCAGACAAACAGCACTTAAATTCACGGGCAGTGTCAAAGAGCACATTAATTCTATTATAGATATTAAAGGCTTACTCCAGTTCTTTTTTCTAGTTCTGATAAGAATGTCCTACTGGGCATTTCTAATTAGGACCCCCCAGTTATAAAGCAGCAAATTAAGTTATAAACTTACCTGGATTCCAGGGCCAGACAAGCTCCGGTCTGACTTCACAGTCTCATTCACAATGCTTAGGTGATACTTTTACGCTGATATCTGCGAGCTATATTCCACACATGGTACTTATAAGTGGCGCAGTATTTAAAGTGCAAGAAATAACTTTAAAAATGTATGTTGACAATTAAAACCTTTTCACTATTAAAGGAACACTATGGTCACCAAAACAACTTTAGCTTAATGAAGCAGGTTTAGTGTATAGATCAGGCGTCTCGAATTTCACTGCTCAATTCACTGCCATTTAGGAGTCAAATTACTTTGTTTCTGTTTATGCAGCACTTGTCACACCTCCCCTGGTTATGATTGACAGAGCCTGCATGAAAAAAAACTAGTTTAACTGTCAATCAGATGTAACTCACCTTCAAATATTTTCTCTCTTGCTCTGTAAATTGAACTTTAATTACATACAGGAGGCTCCTGGAAGGTCTCACAAGCTATTAACAGTGCAGGAGATAAGAAAATCTAAATTAAAGAGAATTAGCAATAAAGGAAGGATAAATATTAGATGACTCTTTACAGGAAGTGTTTATGGAAGGCTGTGCAAGTCACATGCAGTGAGTTGTGACTAGGGTGCATAAACAAAGTGATTTAACTCCTAAATGGCAGAGAATTAAGTAGTGAAACTACAGAGGCAAGATCTATACACCAAAACTGCTTCATTAAGCTAGTTGTTTTGGTGATTATAGTGTCCCTTTAAATATAAACCCAGTGCTGCAACCATTAAAGATCTAGGAAAACCAATCTGTGTTCAAACAAACATTAGAAAAAAAATCGTGAGCATAAAACTATACACATGACATAAGTTCTGTCCCCCCTTATCTCTATATATTGTGTATATTATCAATTTGTCACATTCAGTTAAAATAATATCAACTCAACAAGGAATCTTCAACACCTCTGCTGTTTTAATAATAGTGGCATGTTCTATATCAAACCCAGGGATTTGGATTAAGATATTTATTTTACTTGATAGAACAGGGCAGTATTCCCATGATGCTATGGGTAGAACTCTCAAGTTGTGAATCTTCACAATTGTTGGCGTTCCGTATGGTTCCAATGAGATCGTCGATGTATGAAAGATGTCTGGACCTTATAGGTTTTCTTTACCTTACAGACCCAGAGCTTTATTTGCAAAATCAGGAACTGTGAAGAACAAGCAATGAAATTGCAAATTTTAATATACAATAGCCAAACTGGAAATGAAACATGAATTGAGCCTTTTTTCTATTTTGGCTAATTTGACCTATATAAGTTGTATTGCCATAAAGATCTTCAGAATAACGATAAATAAAAAAGGATACTTTGTGTTTCTAAATACCTCAACCCAATTTCTATGTTAAATTTTGTATATATTGTGTATTAATATTGTTTTTGTATTTTGTTGTACCTAATGTAACAATGCAATGATTTGTGGACCCAGGACATACTTGAAAACGAGAGAAATCTCAATGTATCTTTCCTGGTAAAATATTTTATAAATAAATAAATAATTTGACAGTAATTAGCCCTTTTTTTTTTTAAAGTGAGGATAGCTAAAATATTTTTTTCCAGTTCAACTATTTTAACCTTAAATTTGAAATTCACTTAGAATTCTCTGTTTAGTAAATATCCCTATCAGCCAACACAGATTACTACTAACATTTCTAAAAAAAACAAACAAACAAAAAAACCTATAGTTTCATGTCCTCGCACCAGAGGGCAGTGAAGCTCTAATATCCTAAAATCGTCTGACTGCCTCGTTGCCCCAGAACCATTGTCCATCTAGTCCAGACATTGGGGTCTTCCTGGAGCGGTTTGGTTTTCCAGACATTTCTCATGTTAATGAAAACCACATCCCTAAAATCATCATGACAATTGCCAAATCTTTGTAACAGCCAAGAAGATTTACATGTTTAAAGGGATTATTTAGTAAAAGTCTCAGGTGCAAAAGAACTTGCCCTGGTTTATTAAAACAATCTGTTGTTTTTTTTGTTTTGTGTTAAATTATATAGACTATTTTAAATTTTCATTTGGATATTTATGGGGGGGTCCTCAAAATTTCTTTTGGTTTTGAATTTTTCTGCTCTGAAGATCAAGTCATGCCGTTTTTTAAATGAAAACATATAATATATATATATATATATATATATGTATATATATATATATAATTATAAATATATATCTGTTAATTGGTATAGGGTCGGATATTGAAAACATATATTTATATTTAGATCTCTGCAAGATACATGCTTTATAAGTATCTATAATAAAGGGGTAGCATGGTCATGCAATGCCTGTTACTATGCCTAGTACATTAATATATATGACATTATATGGTCATTAAAAATATAGTTCTGTAATTTTTAACGACACACTTTCCCTAGCCAAAGAGCTTACAATCAGTATTCGCTAAAACACCTATTGATGTCCAATCCCCGTGATGTCTACACCTTCTCTCCAAGTTTCTTCTTACTTCTGGAATTAATGGTCTAATAATGATTGTATTCTACACTTGCTCCTTTTACTCCTATTAGTCTTCTCAGCAGGAGCTCTCCAAGTCTTCTCCATTCTACTAGTTTTATTGAGCAACTCAAATTCCGTCAGTCTTTAAACAATTGAAGTGACCATAAACTTCTATCTTTAAACAGATGATTCTGAAATGTATCTGTCCCCTCTCACCCTTGTATCCATAACACTGCAGTGAGTTCAGAATAATTTTATGTTGTCTTTTGTCGAATAGCTCTTCATCCATTCAATTAAGAATCCATTCAGTCCCAGTGCCTCAACCTCCTTTAACATCTCATTTTAGTCCTACTGCTGGTTTCAGTTACATACATTCTGGGCCAAAATAGGCTGTTCAGCTATTACTTTGTTCTTTTTTTTAATCTGCTCATACTACATTCAGTGAAATAATGAACTGTAATTGTTTCCATCGGTGAATTAAAAAAAAAAAATGTCCCCTCCTCTATTCCTCTATCTTTAAAACATTTTCGTATTTTAAAACTTTCCACCTCAATTATCTTCTTTTTCATAGACTATCAATTCCATGTATTTCCTTCAAAGTCAGCCATCAGTATGGGATGTCCTTCAGCATGGGGTATATTTATCTAGATACTTGTAAACTCAATCTCCCAATTCTAAATGTTGATGTTTCTCTTCCTCGGATTAAATATTCCTTTTTATGTGTACCCCCTGCACCTGCCTTTCTCCATTTTCCTTTATCAGTCAACATAGATTATTGCTAACATTGCTTAAAAAAAAAAAAAAGGCTATAGTTTCATGTGGCAGGCTTCAACATTACCAAACTTCTATTTGGCAAGCTTCAACCTTCTAAAACTTTAGAAAGCAACTTTTTGAACATTCCATGACTTTGAAAACTTCATATTATTTCATGTCACGCATATTGATTGTATCTGTAAGGCAACTACTGTCTGTTTAGAATGTAAGCTCCTCTGGATAGATACCAGAAAAGATAGATAGATAGATACCACTTACAGCTGGTATTCACACCGTGTAAATATATATTTGTTCTGTAATGTAAAACAAGGGACTGGGTGATATCTGAATATTAGGTAGAATTTCAAAAAAGTACCATTTAGCAAACTAAAGCAGGTGTCTGCAACATGATTGAAAGGATGTGCGGATATTTAACACGTTTCCAGTTACTCCACCTTCTGCCACCCCCTGCACCATGGACAAAGCGATACACGTAGCAGCTGAACCATCGGTCACAAAGAACAACTTTCCACCCTCTGGTCCAAACCCGAGGTTTATGGTAAAAGATTAGGATACACCGGAATACTAATTATGATCTTTAATGAAGCCTGACACTACAATCTGCTTGTTATTGTCCTCTGTGTATTGGCTCCGATCATATTCACTGACAGTAGGTAACTGGACAAAGTAGACACACAAATGGACCCCTCTGGAGAGCGAGCTTGGCACAGCTGTAAGGATTAAATCATTAACATTATGCCTGCCTTGCAAGGAACCTCCTTCATATTTATATTCCCTAGTACCTATGGGTTTTGAATAGCCCTCACTCAGAATCAACCTGGTCTGGGTCAGCTGGCATCAATAATCCTCTTAACAGATGAAAGAATACATAATTTTATTGGCCCCTATGTGATTCAGATCTCATTAATAACACTGAGATCCTCTTACGGAGTCCTTTATCATACAATATTCAGAAGGCTGACGTATGATGGCCTTGTCCAGTGCAATTAGTGGAAACAGCACCGTGTATTGCTCTTCATGTAAATTATTATAGAAATTGACACTTTATTGCATTCAGATCAAAATATTTTCCTGGCAGCCAGTCTACACAGGAATGATTTGTAGCCCTGGGCCAGAATGGCCATCATTGACACAACCACAAACCCTTGATTGTATTCAGGGCCAGATTAACATGGGGCCTTTTAGAGAAGCAGCTCTAGGACCATGATTTACAAAGGGTCCAAAGAAGTTTAAGGTTTTCTTCATTAATCATTATTTATTCTTATTCCTACAACAGTGCCCCAATCGTATGTTGGAACTGTCTTTTTTTTTAAATTATTTAATTGCTTCCCAGTCACCTCACAGTATTCCTGCTGAAAGGTGTACACGAAATCTGGGATTTTGGTTGTATACTAGATGTATTCTAGTTATGTCATATTGCAGTCGCACAGAAAGCAGAATCCAGAGGTCGGATGGACCAGTGGTAAATCTGATATATATCGCACATGTAATTTAGAAGAGTTATAATGACATAATAACGACAATGTAAATGTATCTTCAACTTCTCTCAGTAAATCCCTCAAAATGTTTGACTCTAGTCCCACGAAGCCCTCAATCCAGCACAGATAGTACCTGTAAATTCTAAAAGAAGTGTCAGGACACCATGCAAGCAGAAGCTAAAACCAAAAAATGGACCACGCAACAACCTTTGGACCTTAATCCCACTGAAATAGTTTTGTAGGTGTCCATTGCCTGAAATGAAAAAGTCCTGAAATGAGGGATGAACCAAATTTCCTAAAATAGAGACTGGCCAACAAATACAGGAAAATATTTCTTGAGGTCACTGGGACTTCTTATGAATCTTAAAACTTTTAGAAAATTGGTGATGAATATTGATTCAGTAGTAGATACATAAAAGGTGATGTGTTTGTGTGATCATATTGGGACAGAACTTGTAACACTGATATGTAGGGTCAGGTGGTAAACACTTAATAAAATGTTTCACTACAAAAA